AGAATTATAAATAAAAACTAGTACATTAAAAATACACATCACTCCTATACATCATTCTCTTGCTTGTGGTGTTTGTGAGCCATTAGAGGTGTTACACTTGTGATACTAAGCTTCTTGAAGATCAAAGGATTCTTGCAATCATTGAAATGTATCATCTAAACTAATTCATTATAGATTTCGATTTCAATGTATGCTAGATTAGGGTTTCAAGTCTTGGATGAATTACATGTACAAAAGAGAAGCCTAGATCCAAGCTTTAGGGTTTTGTATGAGCACATAGGATTGTTCTTTTGTCTAAAACCCATCACTTATAAGCTCAACAATGATCACTAGGAGGCTAGGGTTCTCTCAAGACGGCTAAGGGAGGTGTGGAGGCTGAAAGAAATGAGAGGAAATGGCCCATAAGGTGCTTAAATACTTCCACAAACCCTAAAAGTTAGGGTTCCACCCTGGCACTCGTACGCCCAGCGTACTAAGGCACGCCCTAGTACGCTTAGCGTACTCACATGTACACCCAACGTACTACTTCAAATTCCCAAAATCACCATTTTGCCACTAGGGCCTCCTTTTGCCACTTCCTTCCAAACCAAGGGCCAAAAATGACATAATTAAATTCCAAGAGATGAATTTGAAGCTACTTGAAAAATGGAATGTTACAGTGTACAAATTAGTTCTCTTATATTTATACATTGACATTTCGAAAGAGGAGGTGGTAGCCGGTGGTGAGTCATCATTAAAATATTAAGTGTATAAAATATAGTAAAAAAGAAAAAGAAAAAAATAGGGGTAAGTTTGTCATTTGGAAACATTTTACATAGTTAGGTTAACAGTTAAGTCTCAAAGATTAGGGTTGCAACTTTTGAAAAGCACATGGATTGAGCCATATGAAAAATAATAAAATTGATTAAAACTGTAGACATGTGTAAACTAAAGGGACCAAAACTGTAATTTACTCTTATAACAAAGTAACAAACTACTATGGGGGTATTATTACTATCGCGTAACCCAATTAGTCAAAACTCAAAACTCAAAAAACAACACGTACACGGTACACCATCTTTAAATCTTTAATTATCGATCTCCACCTCTCGCTGCTCCTGCAGTCGCTTCTGTACGTACTCCGTGCGCCGCATCTGCTACTCTTCCTCTTTTTGCTTCGTTAGTAAGTGAGTTTCTCTTTCTCTCCAATCTTAAAAACGATTAATTTATATTAATGTAGAGAGTATGGAGATCGTTGCTTTATTTATTTATTATAACTTTTGTTTGTGCTATATATCTTTTAAAGTATCCTCTTGATCTATCAATTTTGTTTATTGATCGTGACTTATCTTGCGCAACATCGATCCAATGAATATTGTTTCAGAACCTTCTACATGTCACTTTTGTTTATTATTCTAAACTTGTACACTTGCTTAACCTCCAATCAAAGCATTTAGAAACCCTAATTTATTTGAAGTGCCAATTAAATGTTTTTAACTATTAACTTTTACAATATTGAAGTAGTAACTCTACTTCCTCTTATTTACCTATATATGTTTCACTAGAATTGCTTAATGAACGCATAACCAATACTGTATCTACAATTAATTAGTCAAGACTCAAGACTCGTGTTGATTATTGGATTTTTAAGGTGTATCAGATCCATAGGTTGTAATTTCAACGTGTGAATGTCTTTGCATCAGCAATTGTATGCCAATGTTTAAAGCAAAGCTAATACTTACTTTAGTTGATGTTTATTAACTTAATTCGGTAATTAAGCTATCTATAAGTGTTTCTTATTGAGTTAATGCAGATGGGTGTTTGGTTTGTTAGACTGTATATAGATGAAATGGATTGAGTATGTAAAAATTCTTTTAAACATGTCATATATTCTTGAAATTTTATTATCTAATTACTTTGATAAGTATATAATGAGGGTATTTTTGTCTTTTAATGGAAACGGAAGAATGGAAGTAGATCAGAAAATGAAATTCTTCAAACCTCCATGGCTAGAAGAACGACAACAAACACAATGGGCTCCAAGAGACACCAAAACAACTCCAGAAAGAGAACTTGAAGTGATGCAAAATATCCAAATGAACATTGAAATGCTCAAAGAGTCTCAATTCTTCAAAGCTTTTCTGGATCAAATCCATACCCCCGAAGCTTCACACCATTTCCACAAGCTTACACAATCCGAACACAAAGTAAAGATTGTGATATACGGAATTGGTAGCGTCGAAAAAGCTAAATCATCTCAATGGCAACTCAGCCTTGCAATTCTAATGAAAAGAAACCTTAATTGGATTGGAGACATGGAAGTTTTTGATCCGATTATTTCTTTGACCGAGTCAAAGGTCATGGAGGAGCTCGGTTTTCATGTTCTTTCGGTCAACGAACAAGGTAGGAGAGAAGCAGTTGACCCAATTCTTTTTTTCATGCCACATTGTGACCTTTGGTTATACGAGAGTTTATTAAAGACCAATTGGAGACATGATAAGTTGAACCAAATCGTAATTATTGGCAACAGTTTTGAGGGATATATCGAACAACGAATTGCCTTGAACATTATTTTGGATAGTTATAAGTATATAAGAGCCATACAACCATTCACCAAAGAGTATGAGCTTCGTATTGTCTCCAATGATTTTTCTCGACCCTTTGTAGGTTTATGTTGGCATTTTTTTAGTGTCGATCCTGAATTCCTGATATGAACTTGAAATTAACATCTTAAATCCTCTTATTAGGATTAAAGATATGTTAGTATCATCTCTAAACTTGTATAAGAATGTTATCGTGCTTGCAATTGAACATGTGTGTTCTTATCGTGCTTGTAATTGAACATTTTTTTTCTGGACACCATATTCACATCTCTTTAGCTGGGGTCATTACGCATGACTAGACAAACACTCTACCGCTATTTTGGATGATGGGGATGATAAGAGCATTTGTCTTTTGCACATACAAAAGAAACAAAAAATATAATAGTATCTCATGGAGGTTGTTTATAATCGCAATCTAATACATGTAAAATGCAATACAAACAACGTTAGGTAACAAAAAGGATCTTTAGGTTCAACATTTGTTGATCTCTTGTTGCATATTCTTCTCTTTCGATTATGATTTTCAATGTAACATATTTGGCATCAAAATGCAACAAAATGAGCAAAATTTTAAAGTGGATCAAAATCCTATTAGAGTCGTTGCCCCTCCCTTTCTTTCATTCACCTTCGTCAGTGTTCTTCCCCATTATTTCTTCCTAATTTTCTTCTTCGATTAGCCTTCTCCAACAAAAAATGGCTATTAAATGCAATTGTGGATCTGAAGTTGTGATCCGTACCTCATGGAGCAAGAACATCCCTGGAAAAGTTAGTATGCTTGTTCTAACTCAGTTAATGTCAATTTCTTGATAAATCTAACCTAATCTCCTACTTTCTCCTATTTTCTGTAATTTTTACCATTGTTAAATGTTTAAAAATGCAACTTTGCAGGATCCTGATTGCAAGTTCATTGGTTAGGCGGTAGAGGAGCAAAAATGTGCTTGTATGAACATTAGAATGAAGCTTGAACAAGAAAATCTGAAATTGAAGTTGTATGTAGCTATTAGTTGGTTTTTTTGTGTCAATTCTAGTGTACAAAGTGTAGCATTAAGTTTTATTGGATAATATCAGTTTGCTTTAATTTGTATTGGATAGTATCAGTTTGCAAGTTGTATTGCATATATTAGTTTGCAAGTTAATGAATTGTGCTGTTATTTTTGGTAATCGCCAAAACATGCATTAATACCATAACAATTTATAACATACCATTACAGACTAAAATATAAAATACATTAATAACCAAATTAAACATTAGGTCATTCATACAATTACAAACATTCATCGAGTCAACATAGTTTGAAATACATCCCCAAAATAGTAAAAGTAGTAGCAAAAACATTAGTTCAAACTGAAATTACAAACCCAAATTAAAGAACATTGTTTCAAGTTGTAACAATTGGTAAAAACTGGTCAGAATTTGACGGTTAAACCACCGCGAACTATTATGTATTAAAAACCAATTGTATATAATTTTATGTTTATAATATATGTTAAAGATATTATATTCATAATTACTTTCAAAACATCTCAAATTGCTTAAATCATATATCGTTGAGGATCGAATCGAAAATCACAAAAAAAAACTCTATTTGTGACGTTAAAAATAAAATTTTGCATTAAGTATACTTGAGAGCTATGAATAATAAATTTAAATAGATTATGTTATCCTGATTTCGTGGATATAAAGAACGTCCAAAACGAATATTATATGAGAAAGTTACGTCTCTTTAAAGTTATACAAAATAAATATTTATCTGATTTTTCTGAAACGAACTATGCACTGCTTCGTTTGGAATAGCTACGAACCTCATAAATAACTTTTGAGCATGTTTGAACTCAGACTACAGTCTATTATTTTACTTCATTTTTATAACATTTTTAATCTCGATCAAAATCGAATTCGTAAAATCTGTCGAATATGAGCCAATTATTCGCGAAACTTTGAACGCCGTTTCCTGGAGTTCTGTATACCGAAATTGAATTTTGTCTGCATTTCTGGAATCACCACAACCGGAAGACAAATTCATAAAGATTTTTACATTTCAGGAGCTATTAGCATATGATCCAGAAAAACGATTTCCTCACTAAATATTGAAAGTACATTTCATATACTTGTGTCTCTTCTTAATACCTTCCTATATCTTTTAAATTTACCAAAAAATCTATTCCAAACATGAGTGTGTATGTACAAGACTCATGAATGCACAATTTTTTCCTAACCCTCCAAATACATACATGTATATGTATACCTTGCAAAGTAATCTATAATATCTTTCAAGATTATAATTTGTACAACCAAAATCATGTTAAAATCAACTCAAATATAAGGAGATAAGATTTTACATACAATACCAAACCAAATTCAAATTGAAAAAGCTTCTCTCAACCCATCTTTCTCTCTTTCTTCCTCTTGGAACGGCTATGAAGACACACCTCTCACCAAAGATGTCATTTTCCGGCCAAAAAGAGAAGCTACGGCTCTCTTTCCTGTCAATCGAACCAACCAAAAATCCCCTGAAGATCTTTGTTGCTGCTTTCTTGTTTCCTTCTTCGATTGCTGCCAGAAACTCCTCGTCGGAGGTGTTGTTTTCTCCCAATGAACAAGGAGGCATCAACATTGTTATTTTTGCCCTCACCTGTTCCCATCGATCACCACAGGAGCAGCCCTTCTTACTACCTGTTGTCGCCTTCGTTTCCTACCCCTTCGAACAGCTGGAAGCATCGATGATGTTCCCCCAGTTCACCCACTGCCAGCCACCTCCTTGCTGTCTGCCCTTCCCCTCGATTTGAGGTTACCGACGTCGAAGCATGAGAACCAAGGAGGGTCGTTAGAGATCGGCTTCCCCCTTCTTCCTCCTTCCTTTTTCATGGTGGACCAAAAGATCACCGATGCCTCCCCTGTCGCTGCCTTCAGTTTGTCTTCTTCGATCTGCCAAGGACCAAAAATCCTTTCCCCTTCGGTTGTGTTAGACGGACACGATCAGACCCTCCTTGTGATCTCCAGCCACCGTCAGAGCTCCTGTTGACAACTTTCATTCATCTGTTCCTTGCCCGATCTGTTGGAGACGATGATATACACCCCCCTCTGTACATTTGGTGAATGTGGCAAAACCAGTTCCTCCGCTGTAGTTTTAAATTAAAATCAGCCCCCTTGATATAAATCTTTACAAGTCAGGTCCCATTTGACTTAGTCATTACAAAAAAATGGTCCCTTGTGTTAGTTAAATTACAAAACAACCCTTTTCAAATATAAATTAATTAAAAACAAGTCCCTTGGTTTAAAATATTACAAAAATAGTCTCGGGGTTTGTTTTAGCTCAAGAAGGTGCTGTTGGTTTCCCATGCGAAGCTTCTAAAAAATGAACCAACTTTAAAAAAAGTCGAACTCACGTTTCAAGGGTGAGTTTCTACAGACCCTCATTTATAGTTTTAATATTTGGGGGAGAATACATGTGTCTCTATTAACGTTTTGATGATTTTCAAGTTTTTATACGTTAAAATGCATCATACTTGTTATTGGTAAAATGTATATGAAATAGCAATCTAAAATGTTATAAATCATTAATAAATCATAGAAGTTAAAGTAGATTTCTAAAATATAATATACTTATACTTTGTTGTGAAATATTAATTAATATTAATAAAAATCATAAGATTTTAAGTAGATTGCTATAAAGATATAAGTATATTTGATGAATCTTAAATTGAAAGTCTTGTTGTATATATGCACGAATATGTTGAAAAAGCATGAAAAGACATTGTACATATAAACAAATATGATATTCAACATAATTATGTACAAAACAAATGTACATTACCTTAAACGGTTGATAAACGACGTTTGAAAAATACATAATTATGTTTGTTTCCTAAAAGCTTTATGAGTTAGGATCATTTCCTAAGCTGCATTGGCTATGTTTATAACCACACTAAGACTGTATGTATTGGTCCACGTCCTCTGCATTATAACTGTTAACTCGTATGGAACGCGAAACGTCAGGTATAGATCGACAACACTGGTCTATACAGGTTGACATCCCTCCCACATGTGTTAGCTACACCATCGCCTGATGAGACGAGTTTGGCGTTGACGTTCATATTTTATTTACTTCTAGACGTTGATAAAGCGTTGATGTGGAGCTTTAATCACGCCTATGCTGGTGATGTGTAACTTTTAGCACGCCCATGTGGGTGATGTGTAACTTTTATCACGCCCCATTTTAGTGTTGGTGTAGAGGTGTCGTAGTTCGGTTGTGAGCTCATTATAGATCCCAGAATTGTTTCGTTACCGTATAGAATCAATATTGGGTTTATACGGGGTATTTGTTCACTTATTCTAGTTGAAAGAGACTGTATTTAGTGGGATAGTTTGTGACTCAAAACGATAAGTGTCAATACCATAAATTAAGTCATATAACACTTAATCAATATCATGACACGACTGAACGGGGTTTATTAACTTACATAAAACAAATTATTTATATAAACCCCTTTGTTTTTGTACGAAAACACAATGTTTATGTGGGAGGAGTTTGCCCCAATGTTTAAGTGTCGGTTCATAAATTAAGTAAGATAATACTTGATAACTACTACCACACAACCTTACAAGTTTTATAAACTCAAAATCTATGAGTTTTATGTAACTCCCGCAGATTCGGGCTAGCCAATTTAGAGACAATAAACATCAAAAAATGAATTTTTCACGGAATATTATTTAGAATAAATAATCTTAACTAAATTATAGTATATGTCACAAGGGTTCCGTACATATAAAGAACGCTAAAATCCGAGTTATAACGAAGAAGTTATGACATGTCGAAGTTTCGCGACAAAACCGGCACGACACCGAGAATCGTAAAAAGTGAGTTTACGATAAAGTACTTTTTATCTTTAGTGATCTGAACAAAAGTTGTAGAGTACGTCTCCACCTACGCGTGGATATAAAGAACGTCAAAAATGGAGCTCGTATGCAAAAGTTATGACCTTCCGAAGATGTAGCTGTCTGAGAGCATGACACGTGGCAAAAACCCTAATCTGTCAGGGCTCACGACGTGAGCATTAATTCTCACGACGTGAGAAGTCATACGGACACCTTTCGAAGCTAGAAACGCAAATGGCAAGTCTGCGAGATGATGCAGTCAGGCCTCACGACGTGAGTATTGATTCTCACGACGTAAGAGAGCCCAAAACAGTCTATAAATAGCAAGCTCGACACTAACCATTCTTACACCAAATTCTCTCTCTCTCTCTCTCTCTCTCTCTCTCTCTCTCTCTCTCTCTTTCTCTCTCGTTTGCTGAAGGCGTTCCTTGTCCAGAGCCCGAAAATCATGAACCGCTGATCGTTTCTAGTTAAATTTTATCAAATCACGCTACTAAGGTGAGTGCATAGTCCCTTTCATGAACATGATTTTAATGCAAATATTGATTAAAGTATTAAATATATGTTTGTGTGTGAAATATTTGATATTGCTTGAAATATGTGTTAAGAGCATATCTGGTAATTATATGATGATACAGAGTAAACTTAAGTTAATTAAGAGGAATATTGGCTAGTATCTCCTTATGAGTACGAGTGAGATATACACGGAGGGTAGAACTTTAAAACTTGTCACTGATCCGAGAGCAGGGATTAGACTTAGTCAATTGTCCCTAATCCGAGAGTATGGAATGGTCATAGTTATTGATCCGGGAGTATGGACTAGGTAAAGAGGTAAATTTTAGATCCGGGAGTATGGATTAGGTAAAAAGGTAAATTTTAGATCAGAGAGTATAGACTGTGTCGTTGTGAGGGTCGACGGGGTGGGGTAAATTGCTTATATGAGGCGAATTTGTATATGTTGCGATGTTCTAAAACACACACACACACACACACATATATATATATATATATATATATATATATATATATATATATATATAT